TTTTACCAAATAGCATAAGTAGATATTCCATATACATTTGTATGTTGGGGTCACAGACATAACGGGTGCCGTGCAGACAGAACACAGTGGGGATGGATTTGGGTGAGGCAGTGAAGGCAGAGGGTGCCTGTGAGGTGTGTCGGGGTCGTTAAGGGCCTGGCCCACCTATCTTTCAGGCCGCTGTGCTGGGAATTCGTGGAGGTGAACTTGGGCTGTTGGGGACCCAGCTGCTCAGTGGGAGTTTCTCAGCCCCCGCCGCCTTCCCGACAGATGTGAGGCTGTTCTGCTCGTACATGTCAGGGCTGGCTTTCTTTGAATTAATTTTACTTAGTTAATTTCTTTTTTTTTTTGGTGGTGATTTACATTTTCCGGGTCCCTCATTTCTCTCTCTTGTATCACGTCAGCCGAAAACCGGCATCTCTTAGGAAAGAGATAGCTCTGCACGATTTCCCTTTGGACCTCCTGAGTCTGGCTGGGCTGGTTCTGGGGAGGCAGGGGCACAGACCGGGCCATGCGTGTCCCCTCTGCAGAGCCTGGGCCTGGTGGACCGCAACAACGAGCCGCTTACGCACGCCATGTACAACTTGGCCTCCTTGCGTGAGCTGGGCGAGACCCAGCGCCGGCCATGTACCATCCAGCTGCCTGAGCCCATCCTCCGCAAGATAGAGACCTTCCTGAACCACGTAAGAGCCCCTCACGTCCTCGCCCACCTCCATCGTCTTCAGATTGAAAGCTTCCACCTGCAGCAGGCAGTATTCACTCCCCATTTTACCCACTGAAGATGAAGCCTTGGAGCACCCTTGCCCCAAGCAGCCCAGCTGTGCCCACAGGTCGGCTGCCCAGGGGCCTGGGCCACAGTGTGTGACCCAGCGAATCACATGAAGAGGGTCTGGGTGCAAGTGAGGAAGAAGGTAATTCTCTCTTTCATCATTTCGTTTGCTTCTTCTGTCCCCTAGTACCCCGTGGACAGTTCATGGATCTCCCCAGAGCTCCGGCTGCAGGGTGATGACATCTTGCCCTTGGGCAAGGACTCAGGGCCCCTGAGTGACCCTATCACAGGCAAGCCCTACGTGCCCCTGTCAGAGTCGGAGGAGGTGCGTCTGAGCCAGAGCCTGCTAGAGCTGTGGCGGCGGCGAGGGCCCATCTGGCAGGAGGCCCCCCAGCTCCCTGTGGACCCGCATCGGGACACCATCCTCAATGCCATCGAGCAGCACCCGGTGGTGGTCATCTCCGGGGACACAGGCTGTGGGAAAACCACGCGCATCCCGCAGCTGCTGCTGGAGCGCTATGTGACCGAGGGCCGAGGTGCTCGCTGCAACGTGATCATCACCCAGCCGCGCCGCATCTCGGCCGTTTCCGTGGCACAGCGGGTCAGCCACGAACTGGGCCCCTCCCTGCGCCGGAACGTGGGCTTCCAGGTGCGGTTGGAAAGCAAGCCCCCGGCCCGGGGCGGCGCCCTGCTCTTCTGCACCGTGGGCATCCTGCTGCGGAAGCTGCAGAGCAACCCCAGCCTGGAAGGCGTGAGCCACGTCATCGTGGACGAGGTGCACGAGCGGGACGTGAACACGGACTTCTTGCTGATCTTGCTCAAGGGCCTGCAGCGGCTCAACCCCGCCCTGCGGCTGGTGCTCATGAGCGCCACGGGTGATAACGAGCGCTTCTCCCGCTACTTCGGCGGCTGCCCCGTCATCAAGGTGCCCGGCTTCATGTACCCCGTCAAGGAGTATTACCTGGAGGACATCCTGGCCAAGCTGGGCAAGCACCAGTACCCACCCCGGCACCGGCACCACGAGGTGAGGGGGCCTGGGCCCTTCCTCCATGGATTTTGTCCTTTCTGTTTTGGGGGCTTCGTGGCCTAGGGCAAGTGACCCTCCTCACGCCTCGCTTCTCTTGACAGAAACGGGAATGATCGTCTCCATGGCAGGGGTGTGGTGAGGGTTGTTGGCGTCATGTCAGATGCCTCAGCCTCACAAAGTCACAGTGGCCGTGTCCTCTGTGTGACCCCTTGCCTTGGGACTGTGACTGTGGTTTCTCTTCTTCCACCCAGGCTGAGGACGAGTGTGCACTCGATTTGGACCTTGTGACCGATCTGGTTTTGCACATCGATGCCCGCGGGGAACCAGGTGGGTGCCCCCCTGCCCTGCGCCCGCCCCGACCTCGGTCTGCTGGGAGCCAGCTCACGCCTGCGGGGCCCCTCTCCAGGTGGGATCCTCTGCTTCCTGCCTGGCTGGCAGGAGATCAAAGGAGTGCAGCAGCGCCTGCAGGAGGCCCTGGGCGTGCACGAGAGCAAGTACCTCATCCTGCCAGGTGAGAGCTGTGTGCAGGGCCTCACGGCACCCAGACACCCTCCGGCTTCGCCTTGTATTCTGGGGACCGACCCAACTAGGACCCAAGGGGCCTGGGTTTCTGACCAGGCTGCACTGCCTTTTGCTGGCTTTGCAACTTTTCCTGGGCTTACTAAACCGGGGCCTCACTTTCAGGAAAATGGGGTGAAAATCCTTGCCCTGCCGTCACCACGGGGAGGCCCTGGCCCGAGCGGTGCCTGTAACCTGTGTGTGCTTGCTGCCCACCAGTGCACTCCAACATCCCCATGATGGACCAGAAGGCCATATTTCAGCAGCCACCAGTTGGAGTACGCAAGATTGTCTTGGCCACCAATATCGCTGAGACCTCCATCACAGTCAATGACATCGTGCACGTGGTGGACAGTGGCCTGCACAAGGAGGAACGCTATGACCTGAAGACCAAGGTGGCACCCATCTCCAGGGCCCAGCCAGCCCCGGGGGAGAACTCCAGTTCTGGGGTGGCCCCTGGCTCAGATCGGCCTTGGACCTGCCCTATGTCTGGAGAAGGCCACACTTGTGGGGTCTCAGTGTCCCTGCTGGGGTAGGGCTGTTGAGGGCTTAAATGAGGTGATGGCCAGGCATGGGGGAACGGGGCACTGAGGAAGTCCTGTGGCGTCTGTGTTGCTGCTCACCTGCCCCCTCCCCCAGGTGTCCTGCCTGGAGACGGTGTGGGTGTCACGAGCCAATGTGATCCAGCGCCGGGGCCGGGCGGGCCGCTGTCAGTCGGGCTTTGCCTACCACCTGTTCCCACGGAGCCGGCTGGAGAAAATGGTCCCTTTCCAAGTGCCGGAGATCCTGCGCACGCCCCTTGAGAACCTGGTGCTGCAGGCCAAGATCCACATGCCCGAGAAGACGGTGCGCAGAGGCGCCGCGGGGCAGGCGGGCCTTGGGCGCAGCGGGCGGGACGCAGGCTCACGGGGGGCTCTGCTGTATTCTGGCTGCAGGCAGTGGAGTTCCTCTCCAAGGCCGTGGACAGTCCAAACATTAAGGCAGTGGACGAGGCTGTGATCTTGCTCCAGGAGATCGGTGAGTGGGCAGGGCTGGGCCGGGCCGCGGAGAGGCTCTCCAGGGCGGGCCTGACAGCTGAGCTGTTGCAGGGGTGCTGGACCAGCGGGAGTACCTGACCACCCTGGGGCAGCGCCTGGCCCACATCTCCACCGACCCCCGGCTGGCCAAGGCCATAGTGCTGGCCGCCATCTTCCGTTGCCTGCACCCGCTGCTGGTGGTCGTCTCCTGCCTCACCCGGGACCCCTTCAGCAGCAGCCTGCAGAACCGAGCGGAGGTGGACAAGGTCAGACCAGCCCCTGCCATGGTCTCGGCGCTCCCCGTCAGCCCTGCACCACCTCCTGTCCTGGGGGAGCCTCCTCGAGCCCTGCCCGTGACCCTGGTACTGTCCTCCCCCTCCCAGGTGAAGGCACTGCTGAGCCACGACAGTGGCAGTGACCACCTGGCCTTCGTGCGGGCCGTGGCCGGCTGGGAGGAGGTGCTGCGCTGGCAGGACCGCAGCTCCCGTGAGAACTACCTGGAGGAGAACCTGCTGTACGCGCCGAGCCTGCGCTTCATCCACGGTCAGCGGAGCCCCAGCCCGGGCTATGAGCTGCCGTCTGCCTGGCCTCGGCTCCAGGCCGCGGGTTCACCCCAGCTTTGCCTCCGCAGGACTCATCAAGCAGTTCTCCGAGAACATTTACGAGGCTTTCCTGGTGGGGAAGCCCTCGGACTGCACCCTGGCCTCTGCCCAGTGCAACGAGTACAGCGAGGAGGAGGAGCTGGTGAAGGGCGTGCTGATGGCGGGTCTCTACCCCAACCTCATCCAGGTGCTGCCTCCGGGACAGGGCGACTGGGCCCCGACCTTTCCCATCCCCAGCTCCTCGCTCAGCCCACCCATCTTTCCCTCCATCCCCGCAGGTGAGGCAGGGCAAGGTGACCCGGCAGGGCAAGTTCAAGCCCAACAGTGTCACATACAGGACCAAATCAGGCAACATCTTGCTGCACAAGTCGACCATTAACAGGTGGGGGGCAGGCAAGGCCGGGCAGGGCCCCTCGGATGGGTCAGAAGGGTGGCCTCACGCAGCTTTTGTCCTCCAGGGAGGCCACACGGCTACGGAGCCGCTGGCTGACGTATTTCATGGCTGTCAAATCCAACGGCAGCGTCTTCGTCCGGGACTCCTCCCAGGTACACCCGCTAGCTGTGCTGCTACTGACCGACGGGGACGTCCACGTCCGTGGTGGGTACCTGCGCGCCTCCCAGCCCACTGCGCCACTGGGGCGGTCTGTCTCCCCGAGGGCCTGGCGTCACCCTGGCTCCCTGCCACCTTTCCTTTCTCCCAGACGATGGGCGCCGGGCCACCATTTCCTTGAGTGACAGCGACTTGCTGAGGCTGGAGGGCGACTCGCGCACCGTGCGGCTGCTGCGGGAGCTGCGCCGGGCGCTGGGCCGCATGGTGGAGCGGAGCCTGCGCAGTGAGCTGGCCGCGCTGCCGCTGGAGGTGCAGCAGGAGCACGGGCAGCTGCTGGCCCTGCTGGCGGAGCTGCTGCGGGGACCCTGTGGCAGCTTCGACGTGCGCAAGTCAGCCGAGGACTGAGCCCTGCGTCGGCCGGGCCGTGTACAGAGTGCAAATGTTTATTTAAAATAAAGTTCTATTTATCCCTTGTGAGCATCGCTGTCCTCTGGGGGCGCCTCCCCAGACTGACGGAGTGTGAAGGCAGGGAGGCTGGGGGACAGGCTGGGGCCCAAGGTCTTGGGGGAGGAAGGGGCTTCGAACCACCCTTTCGGGAGCTTGAATCACCCGTGCTGTCAACTGGCCTGACCCTTGGGCCAGCCCAGTCTGTGTCACAGCTGCTCCTGTAGGTCCCCACACCATGGGTAGCCCGTTGCTACTGTCACTGTCTTTGCAGCTTGGGACAGCAAGTGTTGAGCAGCCCCTTCCTGTGTCTCCCTCCCTGAGGCAGTGGTCCAGTGCGTATTCTCATTCTGTCTGGCTGCCACCCACAGGCAGCTGGGGCCCACTTGGACCTTAATCTTTTAACCCCTTAAAAAAGGGGCCCCCAAGCTGTGTGGCAGCCCTGCCACAAGCTGGACTTGCCCTTGGTTGTAACCACATGTTCACAGTTGCGAGGCTGTGGTCATCGACTACACCATGTGCACCGGTCCTTCAATGCAAGGGAACAAGCCAGGGGGTGGGTGTGGACGCTGGAGGCCGAGACAAGCCAGGACTTACAAAGAAAGGACCTGCGTGGTGAGACATCATGAGCTTTATTTACTCTTGAAATCATGACAACAGAATCACAGACTGACACAGGTAATGGCTGAGCCATAAGCAAATCAGGCAGTAAAAGATGTCCCACCCCCGATGACCACAGAGTAGTACACAGCACACAGGCCTCTGGTCCTCACCTGTCAGGGCCACCACCTTAGCCTCTGGCTATGGGACCCTTCAAGGAGCTGCGACCAGGCCATCCAGACAGCTCTGCTTGGGCGCCCCCCACCCCACCCCCACCCTTAGCTAAAGGAGTGAAAGGACCTGGAGCCGGTGGTCCAGGACCACAGGGAGGGTGCAGGTCCCGCCCCCAAGACGTGGGCGCCCTGACCTCCCGGTGAGGACCCTCTGGTCTAGAAGCACTTTCTCCACTAGGCTTGCAACTTCCTGGTTTGTGGGAGCTGGGGCTATGGTGGCCCACCTCCCCACTGACACGCTGCCTCAGAAGCGGGGAGGCCTGCCCGCCCAAATGCCCTCGCTCTGCTGGAGCGCGAACCTGAGCCCCAGTCAGGCGCCCCAACCTGCCCGGCTCCGCGGGACAGCAACAGAGGGCAGGAGGGCACCGCACGAGGCCCTGCCAGGGAAGCCCTAAAACTCCCAGGCCATTTCACTGCAAACCGGTAGGTTTTAATCCTTTATTAGAAACCATGCAAATTTTAATACAAAAAAATACAAGTGCAGTAAGAGTCTTCGTGCCAATACGATTCCCGGGATTTCTCATTGCAGCCACCCCGAGCGGGCCGAGCTGGGACGCCCCGCAGGCTGGCCTCGCCTCACCTCCCGCCGCTCCAGTCAGAGTAGCAGGGACGTGGGGTGGCCCCAGTCTTATGCCTTTATTTTTAAATTTCTGGACCTGATTCCCCACGACCTATACGCGCTCTGCACATCTTAGGCTCCCTGGTAGCCGAGGGCCCAAGTGTCCTCGGCCTGCAGGATTTTGACCTCCGTGGCCTGTTCCAGCCCTGACCTTGTATCTCCCACCAGATCCCAGGAATGAGACAGACAGAGATGCCAAAACCAGCCTCTTGGTTAGAAAAGAAAAGCAGCATAAACGCAAAACGCAGAACCACCAGTCACACTCTGAGCAGCTCCTGGCATGCCCTACCTGCTGACCAGGCTGCAGCCCCCACGTCACCTGCCCTGCCCACCATCTCCGGGGTCCCGAGCTGCCCCCTGGGCAGCCCCCAGTGCCTGACCTCCTGGCTGGAGGCTTAAGGATCTCCCCTCCCTGTTTCCTTTAACACCTGCTGAGGACTTTCATTTAAGACATGACTTCAACCTGCAAAACTATTCCACCAGTTTTTAGGATATTTAAAAAAAAAAAAAAAGAAAAAAACAAGAAAAAAGTATGACAGCAGCTAGGCAGGTATGGGAAGCAGTGGGGACAGGCTGCGTTGACCCCTAGCTAACTTGCGGCAGGGTGGCAAGAGGTGTTTGGCACCAGCCACGTCAAAGGGACAGGCAATAGCTTAGCAGGCTCCAGGGGACGCAGTCAGGGCCGGGCCACCGCATGGGCATTCCACTCATCCCGCCAGGTGGACCCAGCGAGGAGGGAGGGAGGGTATGTCAGTTTCTCTTGGGTTTGGTCCAAAAAACCCAAACAAAGAGGGGATTGGAATCGGGTCTCCTCTCTTAGACCCCCCCAAGACCCCAGGTCAGCCTCCCCCCACCCCCAACACCCCTCCCTGGAGCAGGGACGCGATGATGGGACAGGAGCAAAGCAAGGACCGGGCCTGGGGCAAGGGGCGGGAAGAGGTGTGGGGGTGACGGCTGCTGCCTTGGGCAAGCGAGACAGGAGGGAGGGAGGAGGGGGAGGGCCCTAGAGGGCTGCCCGGAACCCCGGCGGTCACAGGTCTAGTGGGCGGCCCGGGGAAGACAGCCAAGGACACGGGTGCCTGAGCTGGGGCCGCCAGGGAAGTGGGGGGGACGGGAGACAATGTCGGCCCCGTGGTCGGTGCGGGCCCTGGCGTTTGCCCGGAACGTCAGCCTGTAGGTCTCAATCTGCAGTGACACGGGAGGAGGGAGGGAAAGGGTCACAAAGGAGACAAGGGGGGGACAAAGGGATGGAAGACGAGACCAGAATGTCATCATTAGATGCCTGGAAAATAAAAGGTTGCTTCGTTAAAATTTAGGCCACACTCTGGTCAAAAAACAAAGGAGTTTCAATTTGCAGCCAGTGGCAGGGTCCCTGGCTGGCCCTCAGGCCAAGCCCAGCCACTTACTTGTCTCCTGGATCTGGCAGTCCAAGGTCTGGGCCTCCCTTTGGTCACCACCCCCTGCCAAGGTGGTGTGGCCACTGAGGCCACTGGCTGAAGTGGGGGCGCCAGCTTCGGGCGCTGCCTCAGGGATGGCCGGCTCCTCCCCAGCGGGGGGGCCCGGACACGGAGGGGCCTCGCTGCCACCGCCCTCCGTCTACAATGAAACAGTGGGGGAGACAGTGCAGGGTCAGTCCGAGAGGGAGTGGGATGGGGGATGGAGGTGAGAGTTACACGCAGCCCCCGCCCCGGCCGCCCCTGGATGGAGGTGCTGTCATCTGGGCCACGTGGACCGGGTGCTCCCACCCCTGCCCCGCCCATGGGAACCACCGCTGGCAGGGCAGCCGAGTGCGGGGCGGGACGGCGCAGCCTGGCTAGTGACATGCTCTGGGAGCTTCCTCTGTGAAATGCCTCTCTGAGAGGTGCCAGGCTTCTCAGCAAGGCTAGCGCCAAACAAACACAGCAAGGACAGGTCAGCTGCAGCGAGCCTGAGGCGCCGTCTCGAGACGGGCCTGGACTTGGCTGGGAAGCAGTGACGCCGCAGGCCAATCAGTACTGGAAAATGACTCCAGAAACAGCAAAGAAAGGGACATAATGAAACATGGACACAGGAGGCGGGGCCAGAGGGCCAGGTGCGAATCCTGTCTGCATGCACCTGCTGCGTGGCCCTGGACGAGGCACCTGAGCTAGTGCCCCACAGACACAGACTAAAGGGTGGGAACACGAACCAAGAGCCTGTGACAGAGCCAGGATCCCAAAATGTTCGTGAAGGCTAATCAGGGCTCGACTCCGCACCGCGGGAGGGCGGGATAAAAGGGTGGCTGGGGTGGCCCAGTGCGGGCTCTCCAATGTCACAGCGAAGGCCTGCAGCAGCGCTCTGGCCCCCTCCCTGTGCACCTTCCCCTCAGTGGCTGCAGTGACCCTCAAGCACCAAAGCCTGCAAGACGCCGCCCCCTACCCGCCGACACAGAACGAGGGACAGACAGCATCTCAGCACACAAAGGGGCTCACAGGACTGTGGAAGGAGGGAGGGTGGGAAGGAGGGGGGGCAGGGAGGAGAGGCCCAGGCAGTCCCGAGGGTGGGAAGCCCTGTCACCCGAGCACGCCCCCAGAGCCTTGGCCCAAACGGGCCGCAGGCAGTCCCTCCGGAGACACCAGGCCTGCTGTCGCACGTGCCCACACAGGTGGACACCAGGCCTGCTGTCGCATGTGCCCACACCCCTCTCATGAGGTAGCTGGGGACAACTACCGTGCAGCCCACCTGCCTTGTGGTGACCTGTGCCCCAGCCACAGTTTCTCTGAAAATGGCTGAGATGAGCTCAAAAAGTAAGGAAGGCCATGGTTCTCGGAAGGCCGTCTCCGGCTTGGGCCTCTTTACCTCTCCTGCCTCGCCCAGGTCTGATGATGATGGGAAAACAGCAATGGGGGACATGACTCCTGAAGAGACTGAGGGGCGGTGACAGCGCCCGCCTGCAGGGACCCAGACTCCACTGCATACCCCGCCCGTCCCCAGCTGTCCCCGTGGCAACCCATTCACTACCTTCACGGCACCTCCCGCAGGCAGGTGGCCCACGTTATCAAGGGACCCCACCTTCGCCTGGGCCTTCTCCTTGAAGTTCAGCTTCTGACTTTCGATCTTGACATCTCCTCCACCTGGAACCAGAACGGCACCGGTCACCGGGGGCGGCAGAGAAACAGTCCTGCAGGCACAGCCTGCGGCCTGGGACGGGAATCCCGGCTTGGCCAAGGGCTGGCTAAGTGCCCGTACAGCAGCGGGGAAAACGCGACCCGCTGCCACTGGCTCCGAGGACAGACAGGACACGGCGCACGCGCTTTCGAAGTGGGGCTCCTCTGCCCTGAGTCTGGCTGGGGCCGACTCCCCGTCCGGCCGGAGGGGGCAGCTCCACGGAGAAGCAGCCACCCTCTCACCATCGCAGCCCGCGGCTCCCAGGGCGGGCCTCGAACTGTGCCAGGGGCACGCCGCTTCTCGTCCCCCGGGCAGCGTGACAACCCCCGACTGACCGGCTGTGTGCTGCGCCACGGCCTCTTCCAGCATGGTCAGGATCCCTGTTTTAGAGCTGCTGGCACTGACGCTGGGACAAAGTGACCTGCCCAAGGTCACCGCCGAGCTAGTGACTGACCGAGACAGGATGGGAACGCAGGCTGTCTGAGCCATTGAACCAGATCCCATTGTCATGAAAAGGAAAGGCAAAGGGCCTTGGGCCTGAGCTGAGAAAGGGCCGGCCAGCCCGGGTCCAGCGCCTCTCGGCAGGGATGCAGGGGGAGGATGACCTGGACACAGGCTCACAGGCCACAGCGCGGCCGTGGGGTCGAGGGCCAGCCCGTCCTCACTGCCACCCGGCCCTGGTGTGGCCCGGCAGCATGGTGGCTCTCAACCCGTCTTCTCCTCTCTCCCCCAGTCCCTCAGCTCCCATCCGAACCTCAACACGCAGCTTCTCGCCACATCTCCAAGCTCAAGTCCTAGCCCCCCGCAAAAGCTGGACTTCAAGTCGCCCAGCGTCACTAGGGAGGGGGGCATCTCATGAGTAGATGTGCCAGATAAAAGAGGGAAAAGGAAGGTTAATTAAGGCTGAAATGTTTTCGTCCTTTTTAACAGAGCGTGTTCTAAAGTGGACGACGGTTTTGCTGAGGAAAGGGAGTTTTCTCGGCCTTCTCCTCAATGGGCCCCTGGTGACCGCCCTCTGGGACGCCAGATCCACCTGCCAGTGTGCCTGCTGCTGCAGGGGTCCTCCCTACCCCAAACCTGCCGCAGACCCGGGAACCAAGGCACGCGAGGGTGACAGGGTGACAGCTGAGACCGGAGCCGCCGACGCACTGTGGGATCATCTTTGCTCCCGAATCTGCCAGTGAGGCCTGGCCTCGCTCTCTGGAATGCCAGCACCAGCTCTCGAAACGCTCGCCCGGCTGGGAGGCTGAGCCGGATCCCCGGCCTGGAGCGGGCCTCTGCCCTGGGCCTCAGTCAACTGCAGGTCCTCAGGACGGTGCCCGTGCAAAGGGCAGCCTTCACCGCCCACCACCGGTTCCTCCTCCCGCTGAGAGGTCAGTGCCCTAGTCCCATCCCTGACAGGGACTGAAGGCTGCACCGTGCCATGGCTGTGTCCTGAGCGGGGGTGGCTCCAGGAATCGTTACGGAGTGACGAAGGTGTAAGGGGGACACCAGGCCGGCCCACGGCAGGACCACATGCCCAGGCGTCCTGGGACGAGGGAGGAGGCACCACTCACCAGGCTTGTGCTTGATGTTGGCCTTCGACCCACACTTGGAGGAGACCTTAGAGATGTCCACCTTCTTGTTCTGAATCTGAACCTGAGAAGAAACCACAACGACGTTATCACCGCAGAGAAGGTACGCTGCCAGGGCCAAACCCACGTTCCCTTTGAAAGGCTCTTCTCCATGTCCGAGTTTTTACTCTCCCTCTGTAAGCCGACATCAGTCTGTTCAAGGTCAGGGTCACCGCCCGAAGCGGTTACAAGGGCCCTTGGTCCATCCTGGCCCTGCTTGTAGCTTCTGACCCCTCCTCCAGCCAGACTGAACCGATGCTGCCCACACACGCAGGCCTCTCCATCCCGAGCCTATCCACGCATCTGCCAGGCAGCTCTGCACCCATTTTTCTGGATCCGGATCCGAAATATCCCTTCTGTTCCACCTCGAATCTTACCCATCAACTCTTTGGCCCAGAGATAAACCGAAATTAACACTTTGGCATATTTCCTTCCATTTTTTTTCCAATACGTTTTCCCTCCTGACAGTAGATATCTACCTAATCTATACGTAAGATGACCATCCGTCCGTCCATCCGTCTGTCCGTCCGTAAGACGGCCAACAGACTCTCATCAGTGTCTGCCCTGCAGGAGCTTTGGAAAAACATCTTGGTACCAGGACCGATGGCACATCTTTAACTTAGGAAAGGGCACCTACAGACGGGAGTTCTGCTGGGCACCTGGGTGGGATTCCAGGCCTCCTGGGAGTGACCTAGCGGCTCCCAATTCTGAGGAAGAGCCTGGCTTTTCCGTGTTGGGGCGTGCAGGGCCCTGCCGGCGGAGGCCACACCTGCCGGTGGGCTTCCTACCAACGCCATTCAACAGCTGCCTTGTGGCGCCTGGTGTTCCCTTCTCCAGTGTCAGGAAATGCGGCCTCCGCTGTGTTCCAAGAGGGCAGGTCTGCTAGATGCTTTATTCCCGCCCACAGCCCAGGGCCTGGCACAGAGTAACTTCCCGTAACCACCAGCTTGCCTGGGCCCC